TAAAAGAAGTACAAGATAGTTTACTGAAAAGTACAAAACACTGCTGAAAGTAATCGACGATTTACGTAAATGGAAAGACATCCTTTTTATTCACAGAAGACTTATTACTGTTGGTATTAAAACAATGTGACAATACTTCTCATGGATCTGTGGACTTAATGCAATCTCCATCAAAACTATAACTTATATTTTTCTTTGAAGAAATTGATAAGCTAAGTCTAAAATGTATTTGGAATGCAAAGGACCTAAAATAGCTAAAACAATCTTAGAAAAGAACAAAGTGAGAAGATTTATTCTTCCCAATTTCAAAAGCTATTTCAAAGTTATAGTAATAGAGACAGCATGGTACCAGTATAAGTTTAGGAACAGAATTGAGATTCCAGAAATAAAACCTTATGTTTATGGTCAATTGATGTTGAAGAAAGATGCCAAGATAATTCTATGAGAAAAGAATAATCTTTTCAGTGCAGTGGCTCACGCCTATAATCCTAGCACTCTGGGAGGCTGAGGTGGGTGGATTGCTTGAGCTCAGGAGTTTAAGACCAGCCTGAGCAAGAGCAAGACCCCATCTCTACTAAAAATAGAAAAAGTAACTGGGCATTGTGGTAGGTGCCTGCAGTCCTAGCTATTAGGGAGGCCAAGGCAGGAGGAGTGCTTGAACCTAGGAGTTTTAGTTTGCTGTGAGCTAGGCTGATGCCATTGGACTCCAACCTGGGGCAATAGAGTGAGACTTTATCTCCAACAACAACAAAAAAGACTAATCTTTTCAATAAATGGTGCTGGGACCACTGGATAGCCACATATAAAAGGGTGAATTTGAGTCTTTCCTCACACCAAACATGAAAATTACCCCAAACAGACCAAAGATAAAACAATAAAACTAATAGGAAAAAAAAAAATCCAAGGGTGGGAACTTGTACCCTAAGGAAACTTATGTCCCTGATCATCAAGTGCGGCCTTTTGACTGAATTCAAATTTTACATAACAAATTCTCTCATTAAAAGGGGTGCAACAGAGAAAGGTGAAGTTTTCATTGCCATTTGGAGCTTAACAAAGAACACCTTGGAATCAGAGGGCTGTAGGTTCCCCAAGAGCAGAGTGAAAAAAATATGAATTTGACTTCACCAAAATTAAACTTCTTTGCATGGTGGAAGACACAACTGAGACCCAGCAGTTCTACCTCTATGTGTATACACAGGAGAAATGAAAACATACATCAACAAGAAAACTAAAATACATAGGTTTTTGTAACAACATTATTCATGATACCCACAAAGGAGGAAGAACTCCAATGTCTATCAACTGATAAATGGGTGAATAATACATGATTATCATTTATGTATTCATACAATGGAATGTTATTTGGTCGTTAAAGTAATGAAGTACTAATACGTGTTACAACATGCATAAGCCTCAGAAACATATGTCAGGTGAACGAAGCCAGACCCCAAAGACCAAATATTATTTGATTCCATTTATATGGAACGTCTGTAAAAGGCAAATCCATAGCGACAGGAAGTAGATTAGTGGTTGCCAAGGGCTGGGAGTGGAAATGGGGAGTGACTACAGATGGGTAAGAGGTATTTTATGAGGGTGATTGAAATGTCCAAAGATTAGATTTTGGTGATCGTTTTACAACTGTGTCAATACACTAACAGGTAAATTGTATACTTTTAAGAGGTGAATTTTATGCTATGTGAATTATATATCAATCAAGTTTTTTAGAAAATGAGGCAAAGGTTAGCTTTAGAAGCAGGCATGGTATAAAAAGAAATTTTTTTTTTTCTCTTTTAAGGATTGGAGGGATTTATGTGGCTGAGACAGATAGGAAAGAAACTATAGTGGAGGGGGAGAGAGAATACGACAAGGAGGAGTAATAAGGCTAGCAAGTTAGACTATTTAAACCAGACTGTCAAAAGTAAATCTGGAAGAGAGGCATGGACAGGATTAAAGAATTCCTTCTCTGCAGGGGTGTTCCCCCTTTTGGCTTCTCTGCACCACGTTGGAAGAAGAGTTGTCTTGGGCCACATATTAAGTATACAAACACTATGAAAAGCTGATATGTCAAAAAAACAAAAAAGTTCATGCATAATTTTCATGATATCTACCACCACAGTTAAGCAAAAAAATTCTCACATAAACTGCACGTGGCCCACAGGCTGCAGGTTGGACATCCTTATAAGGCAAGATAGGAAGAGGAGCTTAATGTAGATTGAAGAGAAAAAGGAAAGAAGAGTGAGAGTGAGTATTTGACGGCCTATGATTTTCTGGGTCATGTAGGAGGCAAAGTAACATGTGTAAGTGATGAATTTTGTAACTTCAGGAAAATGATGACAGTTGAGACAACAAATGAAGAGAATAAAAAATAGTATATGAATAAAAGGATTTCAGAGACATTAGTGCTCAACTGAGTTTAAATCAAAATATATAAGGCAGTCAGACATCTATCATTTTTCTCTAGCAGCTCTAGCCTTCCATAAGATAGAAGCAGAAAAAACTCATGGGTTAAGTACCTATAAATCTGTATGTGAACTGGTAGAATGCAGGTTCCTGCTAAGGTCTAAGGTAAAAATGCAAAGGTATAAAAAATCTCAAACACTGTTTGGATATGCATATCACCAACTAAATAGTAAACTTCGAGAAGATGCAAACCATATCTTCAAAAAATAATTTCTATTTAGCTAATCAGGATGAGACTTGAGTTATTGAAATTCAATTTTTAAAACTTACTGAGCCTCTCATAGGACTTAAAAGTAGGGCAAAACATGGTAATACTTCCTTATCAAATGGAATTCTCAGCAACAACCAAGAGCCACTTACCATGTCTTCCTCAGTTCCAGTTGCTATAATAAAGTACCATAGATGGAGAGGGTTATAAACAATAGAAATTTATCCTCACAGTTCTGAAAGCTACAAGTTAGATCCAGGGTGTCCCCATGGTCAGTTTCTGGTGAGGATATCCTTCTGCGTTGCAAACTAATGTCTTGTCTTTGCATCATCACATGGCAGATGGCAGAGAGCTCTTTGGGGTCCCTTTTGTAAGGGTATTATTTGCATTCATCAGGGCTCTACCCTCATGGCCTACTTACTTTCCAAAGGCCCCTCCAAATACCATCATATTGCAGTTAGGATGTCAACGTGCCCCCCCCCTCTTTTTTTTGAGACAGAGTCTTACACCCAGGATAGAATGCTATACCTTCAGCAACCTCAAACTCTGGGGTTCGGGGTATCCTTCTGCCTTGAACTCCTGGGCTCAGGTAATGTTTCTGCCTCAGCCTCCTGAGTAGCTGGGACTATGGGTGCCTGCCACCATGCCTTGCTAGTTTTTCTATTTTTAGTAGAGATAGGGTCTTCCTCCTGCTCAGACTTGTCTCAAACTTCTGAGCTCAAGGGATGCTCCCACCTCAGCCTCTCAAGAGTGGTAGAATTATAGGCATGAGCCTCAGTGTGCCTGGCCTCAATGTAGGAAATGCTGAACACATGAATACATACATTGTATCCACTGCACCGTCGACCAAGTAGGTCCTCAGGAAGTACAGAAGGAAGTCCGAACAGTTTGCCTAAGCCACACTCCTCAAAACACCCAATGTGACTGGATATGCAGCTTTCTGGATCCCTTTTGCATAAATTCCGTGAAATTAGACACTCTGAGGGTACAGCCCAGACAATCTGTATTTTTAACCAGGTATAAAGGTGAGGCTGATGTTGGAATGGTGAAGGTACAAAAAAAGACCAATCAACCAATTAAAAAAAAAAGTGTGGCAGTAGGGATAATCTTCAGCAGTTTGGCAAAAAGTTTAAGTCATTGATTTTCTGGACTTCATTATTTGGAATGGGTATTTCTACAACTTTCTAAGTAATTCAAACCTTTTCTTCATATACATTAGTATACTGGTGATTCCAAGAAAAGGTGTTTACTTATTTAATGTGTGGGAATATTAAAAGAAGTATAAACAGGCGCCGAGCGGCTAAGGCGCCAGCCACATACACCTAAGGTGGCAGGTTCGAATCCCCAACCCGGGCCCGCCAAACAACAATGACGGCTGCAACCAAAAAATGGCCAGGCGCTGTGGCGGGCGCCTGTAGTCCCAGCTACTTGGGAGTCTGAGGCAGGAGACTCACTTGAGCCCAGTAGTTGGAGGTTGCTGTGAGCTGTGATGCCATGGCACTCTACCCAGGGGGACAGCTTGAGGCTCCGTCTCAAAAAAAAAAAAAAAAAAAAGTATAAACAGATGAGAAAGGAAAAGAATAACAAGAACAATCAGATCGCATAGGAAACCAAATCGGACAATACATGTTTTTAGAACTATGCTCTTTCTCCCACCGAGGTTCTTTGTCATTAAAAGAACTAAAACCACACTATAGCCCTTAATTACCTTGCCTTACAGGACTGGATTCACAGAATGTCAAACACTAATATCAGTTCATAATGCCACAACAAACTTGAAACGTGACTATTAATTATTTTAATTATGATTGTAGTCTTACGTTAAAAATAGCTTCCCTTTCCTCAAAAAAAGACTAATAAACTGCAAAACTTTTATGTGACTGCACCTCCCTCCGTTCCCCCTTAACACACCCGCACACAGAAACTTTTTGGCACTGTTATTTGCAAACTCCTCCTAGGCTCCCGAATTCCACACACCTCCAGCAAAGCCTCCCCTCGGCCATGTTCCCCCAGTGAGTACCCAGCCCTGGTGCCCCCGGGCCCGGGTGCCCTTCCTCAACCCCTGCAGTCCTAAAGGGCCGGCCGGTCCCGGACGGGGCGGGGCGGGGCGGGGCGGGGCAGGGCTGCTCCACTGGAGCCGGCGGGTGGGGGGCGGAGGATAGGTCCGGTCCGGCTGGCCTCAAAGTCGCCAGCCTTACGACCACGAGCAGGCTCCAGGAAGAATAGTTTTCTTGTACAAGCTCTGTTCTGCCTGACTTGATGTTTGGAAGTCACAAGAAAAACTTTTCAAAAACTTTGTTCATCTTCTGCTCCCCCGACGCACAGTTCCCTGATGGTCCGTCCCCGGGCCAAGCGAGGGACGCCCCTTCCCCCGCCTCCAGTGAGGCACGGGCAGCCACCTCCCCCGGGTCGGGTCGAACTGCCAGGCGGGTGGGCGGGCACGCTTGTGGTGGCCGCTGCCGCGGAAACCGTCGCCCTCCTCGGCCCCTGCCCCGGGCCCACCCCCTGGCAGCATGGACTACCTGACCACATTCACCGGGAAGAGCGGGCGCCTTCTGCGGGGCACAGCCAACCGCCTGTGGGGGTTCCGGGCTGGCGGCGAAGCCCGGCAGGTGCGCTTCGAGGATTACCTGAGGGAGCCCGCCCAGGGGGACCCCGGGTGCGGGTCCCCGCCCCACCGGCCCCCGGCGCCGTCCAGCCCGGAGGGACCTGGTGAGCCCACCCTTCTTTCGCCTTCTGCGCGGCCGCCTGGCTGAGGGCTCGGGCTGGGGGAGGCGGCGGCGTGGCGCGGGGTGGGGGCGCGTGGCCCGGCGTTGGCAGGTGTGCCTGGGCCGGCGACCCGGCGAGGGGGCCGGGTGGCGGCGGGTGGGGGCGAGCAAGGAAGGACTGTTTCAGCTCTAGGGAAGGAAGACTTTCAACTACGTGGTGGCTCTTCCTGCTCTGCTCTTCCTGCTTTCCTCCCCTAGACTCGATTTTCTTTACCCCGCCAAGCATTTCCACTATTTTTTTTTCTTCCCACTGAGAGGTGAATGTTGAACCAATTATGACGTCCGTGTATTCAGCTTTGAGACACTAAGAACACCATGCTTGCTTTGGTTTGGGTTTGGGTCACTCTTTTTTACTGTTGGGAGTCCTTTACTAACTTTAAAAAGCCAAAAACTATTTTGGAAAAGAAAATGCTTCACTTCCGATGGAACCTGGTTGATTTTTGCATTCTGTACCTTGAAAGGCTGCGTGGTGGTGGCTTGAGGTGGCAGAACCTAGAAACTTTTTCTTAGTTACTGTTTATACTGAGTGTTGTGCTAGTTTTCTTTCATCACAGAGGCTTTGTTGTATTCTTTAACGCGTCATAATTGGATGATACTGATAACTTACAGAATTTTTTAAAGTGGTGCTGAGCAGGTATTTGGGGGTTATGAGAGTAAATATTAGCACATGAGCATTATAAGAGTAAATATTAGCACATGAGCATTACAGTGTAGAAAATAAACACCAGGTATAAAATGTATTCATAACTCCATGTCCTGACAGTCATTTAAAAGCTGTAAAAAAGGACATCTTTTGATTTGTGTATGTAGGCATGTAATTTAAGCTTTGAGGAAACTTGAATATTAAAATCTGATTTTAGCATGGCCTTTTAATTTTTGCTCACTTTATATAAATTTCTTTGGTCTTCACAATTCTGTTTGATGGAATTAGGAAATGAAAAGGGGAAGGGCATAGTTTTTCTTTCTGCTCTGATGGACAGTACCCAGATGCAGAAGCCTCTTAAAAGTAGGACCAAAGATGAAGAATGGAACTTTAAAGTGTTTGAATCAATATTTTTATTTATGTATTTATTTTTATTTATTATTTTTTTTGAGACAGAGTCTCAAGCTCTTACCCTTGGTAGAGTGCCATAGTGTCACAGCTCACCTCAACCTCAAACTCTTGGGTTTAAGTTATTCTCTTGCCTCAGCCTCCCAAGTAGCTGAGACTACAGGCACCCACCACAATGACCAGTTTATTTTTTGGTTCTAGTTATTATCATTGTTGTTTGGCACGCCCGGGCTGGATTCGAACCTGTCAGCTCTGGTGTATGTAGCTGGCGCCCTAGCCTTTAGAGCTACAGGCACCAAGCCAAGAATCAAGATTTTTTTTAAATGAGTTTTCAGTTGCCTAATTGAAAACAGTTGGTATGTGATCAATCTCAACAGGTGGAGAATTCAGAAATATGTGGGGTAACTTAGGTAGGAAGGAATATAATTTTTTAATAAATATGCCTAAACATATGTATCTTATTAATTAGATGGTATGCACCTGTGATCCCTGTATTCCCAGCTACTTGAGAGACTGAGGCAAGAAGATCCTTTGAACCTGGGAGAGTTCTAATCCAGCCTGGGCCACAGACACACACCTCTTGCCCCAGCATATATTGAGCACACAGCTATATCTGACACTCTCTTGCAGAGTTGTACCTTCAAAAGCTATACAAATTTCACTTCTTTGGAAACAACCTTTTGAATTCATTGCACATTCTTTAATATTCATGGTCCCCCCATGTCTCTGACAGGTCAGCGTCCTGGCGTCCCAGCATGACCACAGTGAAGTGGGCAGGTATATCCTAGCATTAACTTCCTTAAAGAACTAGGACAAGTTACTTAATTTCATTGGTCCTATATTTTCCTGTTTGTTGATGAGGTTGGATTGGATAATCTGAAAGAGTCTCAATTCTAGAGCATTTCATTTGGAGCAGAACAAGTGAAAATGGCAGGTAAATTTGGTAGTTAAAAACATAGTCTATGAAGTCATGATACAGAGTACTGAAGGCATTTCAGGAAATAAGTGACCCCCATAATCATTTGATCACCCCCGTCATTGTTAGAGTAGATACATTTTCCTAAGTTTTCCTGACTTTTGAGAGGAAATGTGTATCCTGTATATACAAGCAAAAAACAAAAAAAGTTCTTTATGAATTTCTAGCTTGCCTTTGTTTAAAACGAAAATCTGTTTTTTTGCAGCTGTTTATGAGACGATTTTGCCTATAGGGTTGTTCTTTGCATTTGTATCCTTCAGAAAGAGCATCTGTCAGCCTGTTTGAAGGATTTCTTCTGCCCTTTCTGCTGGTGAATACCCTTATTTTCATTTTTTATAACAGCTGCTTAAATTTCCTGCTGTCTATTACACTTTCTTCAATGCTTTAAGAAGTACTATGTCTTGTGGCAGTGTTTCTTGTGCAGACACTTACACATGGTGTAGATTGCATTCCAGGAAGCTGTGATCTTGCCGCTTACTATCTCATACTCTAATGATGTTGACAAAATAGTCTTACCATTGACAGATGAAGGAGAGACCAGATAAAACCTCGGCCAAATGTTTCTGATTTTACTCCTCTGTGACAAACCGCTTACTGGACTGTTAGTGTTTCTCATGCCTTTACTCTTCTGGAAGGGGCTGCTTTTGCCCTTAACCCGTTTTTAGTATTTGCTGGCTCCAACATTATAGCCCCCTCAGGCAAACTATAATTGAGATTTAGAATATTAAGGACATTATCACATCATTGATCTAGTTAATAAGAATTATCAAGGAAACATCTTAGGACACAATGCTTTTTCCTGCTTAAAGGGCACATTGATTGGATTTAACTATTTTTTGCACTTACAAGTTTGGTCTTATTTGGGGTCCTGACCATAACCCATGTAGTATAGCCTTTAAAAATATTCAGTTTACTAGATTAATAGTAATAAATAAATGTAGATATTTATTTAGACTCTCAACTAGCTATAATATAAACATGAAATAATTTTTTTGTGTGTGGTGACTCAACTCTTTTTTAAATTTTTTTTTATGAAATCATAGCAGTGTACATTAATACTATCATGGGGTGGGTGCAGTGTACTGTTTCTGCATACAATTTGAAATACTTTCATCGAACTGGTTAGCATAGCTTTCATGTCTTTTTCTTAGTTATTGTTTTAAGACATTTATATTCTACATTTAGAGAGATTCATATGTACCCTTATAGGATAAACCATAAGCATGATCCCACCAATCACCCTCCCTCCCCCTCCCCTTCCCCTCCCTTCCCCTCCCCTCCCATCCCCTCCCCT